ACCCCAGCTGCAGGTGCCTCTGCTGGGGTGTCACCAGCTGCCACCACCACAGCCCCCTTATTCCACAGGAAGGTCCCTGGTGCCTCTGCTCAGCCCCCCCGCCCCTCCCCCGGCCCCTCCCTCTCTCAGGCAGAGAGGATGCTGGGACAGCAGACTTTTTCTGGCCTCTCCTGGGAGACGCCACTCTTCCTGTCCTCAGAGCAGGGCCCACACGGTACCCCCGGCCAGGCGCTGAGACGGCTCAACTGACAAAGCAGACAACCCGGGAACTGATCTCGGTCTGAGTTGCCTGACTTGTCACCTCTCTGTCCTCCTGACACGGAGCCCCGAGGTGTTGGAGAGTGGAGGGCGATCCTGGGCTCCGAGTTTCCCCATGCCCGGGTTTGAGTCCCATTTCTGCAACTCAGCGTCACTGTGACCAGGGGAAACCCCCTCCCCTCGGTCCCCACCCCCACCCCTCACCCCACGCAGGGCGGAGACCATAACACACACGCCGTGGAATACCAGTTTCAGAAAATCAAACGCCCCTCGAAGACTCCCTCCCCTGCTGGGGACTGCTGATCGGAAAGGGAGGGGGCAGTGACAGCGCCCTGGTCACGCTTCTGCTCTGTGTCTGGCACCAGACTATAGGAGAGTCCCTTTTGAGCCTCGCACCGTCCCGGGCTGGGGGGGCGGGCAGTCTGCACCAGACGCAGGGGAGCTGCGATTGGGCCCCGGGCCTGTGGGATGTCAGCACCCTCTGCACCATGGCCACCACTCAGCGGTGCTCACGTCGTGGGCCCACCAGCCTCCTCCTCCCAGTGTCCCCATCAAGGACTTCTCTGGGCTCTGCAGTCCCGGCACGGCCGTGCCTCCCGGTCCTGAACCCCACTCCTGGGCTGGCGGCAAGCCCACCCCCCCACCCGGCTTCCTGAGTGCCCGTTGTATGCCGGGCATGTCCTGATGCCCGTGGCAGACCCCTGCCCCAAGCTCACGTGCCCCCATTGCTGTCTCTGTGGGGGGTGGGGAACCTGACGGCCACAGGCGCATGCCGCTTCCAAGTCTGCAGAGCCCTCATCTCACTGGGTTCCCACAGCAACCCTGGGCAGTAGGCATGTCCCCTCCCACTTACAGGTGAGGGCGCTGAGGGGCAGAGAGGTTACGTTCATGGGTAAGAGGTCGAGCTGGAACCGCCCGAGGCGGAGCCCCAGGGAGCAGAAGGACCCCTAGCCCATCTCACAGCCTCACTGCGCGTCTGCTCTGTACCCTGGGCAGCGCCTTCCTCCATCAATTTCTCGTCTCCTGTCTTTGAAGCCAGGGGTTGGACCGGCTGGTACCTGAGGGGCCCCCAGCTGTGCTCTGGGCCCTGCACACGAGCAGTGCCCCGTGGTCAGACGGAGGAGCCCGGATTCCGGGAGGGGTTGGCCATGGGAACAGGTTCCTAACTGGGTCTTTGTGGGAGCCTAGCATTTGGGTTGGCAGAGAGTCACGCCAGGAGAGGGGACGGCAGGTGCCAACGCAGGCTGCGGTGACCCGTGGCAAGTTACAGTGACAAGGGTTCGGGGGCTCAGAGGGGCAAAGCACCCTGTCCCAGGTGCCACAGGCTGTGGTTGACAGAGACCCCATTCAAGCTCAGGTCCGGCTGCCGCTCCATCCCGTCTGCACGCGGGGGTGCCAGGCGGAAATAACGCTGCCCAGGACTCGTCTGCAGAGGTTCTGATGTGATTGATCTTGACCTGGACTTGTCTGAGCAGGAGTGTGCTGGAGCCTGAAGCTCCTGGGTGCGGGTGGGCCCCGAGGACACCCTGTGGGGGTGACTATGTGCCTCAGAGCCGGCGCCCTGTGCCTCAGACTTGCTCAGCGTCATCTGTGACCAGCAGGCCGCTCTGTGCCGGTCAGTGGCTGTGGCCACGTCATGTCGGTGGGGCAACCTGCACCCAGCACTAAATCCTGGCTGCCTCAGGCATCCCAGGGGGGTGCCTCCACCCTCCGAGCTTTGCATTCCGCCCATAAACCTGATTGTGCACACTGACCACGTGTCTGGTGATGTTACGGTGTAATCTTTACTTTTTACTTGTGTTAACGTATTGGGGATATGTTTTTAAGAAGCCCTGTCTTTTAGAGATCATGCTGAAATACTGATGAGTGAGATGACGTAATGCAGGAGATCTGCCTCAGAATAATTGGGGTGGGGGGGAGTGGGCGAGGGGGGCAGACATGAGCCGCTAACACCTGACGTGGGGTGACGTGTACACAGAAGTTCATTACGCGATTGTCCCCAGTTTTATGTGTTTGCTGTTTCTATAGTAAACAAGCACTTATCCTGGAAACTTTGATACATACAGATAGGAAAACAGGCGTCAAGGCCGCACAGAGAACGAAGCGGAAGCAGGGTCCCCGCCGTTGTGGCTTCTGGGAGTCACAGGCGGGGACGAGCCGCAGGATCAGGGAGCCGCACGGGTTCAGCACCGCGGACAGCGACCCGCCGCGCGCCGGCCTTTCTGCGGCCTCTGCTGCCTCAGGGGGTCTCCGGGGGGCAGAGAAGTTCCGGATCCGCCTGATTCAGGAAGAGTCTCTGCGGGAAGAAGGCGACCCGGCCTCTTACACCCCCCCCCCCCCGGGGAGGGAGCGTTCACTGCCCACGGGGCAGCCCTGGCCTTGGCGGAGCCGCTGGGGAGCCTGGGCTCCATCAGCGCGCCGGAGTTCACTTAGAAAGCGCGATGCGGTGGTTACGAATTTCAAGGTGGTGACCACAGAGCATTGGAGCCCAAGTGCGGCGCCCTCCTGAGCACGGGGCCCTGTATGACCTCCCAGTGGCGCGATCATGCGGCAGGCAGGCCCTGCACCTCTGTCCACACTGTATCTGACCCGCCCCTGGGGGCGAGGCGATGTTCCCGGCACTCTGGGGGGCGCTTTTGCGTATACCCCCCCAGAACCTGACCCAGATGAAGCGCTTTTCTGGTCTCTGTCACCATAGATTTTGCTCGTCCTTGAACCGTACGTGGATGGAGTCACACAGCACACCACCCTTTGTATTCGGTGTCTTCGGGCCATCGTTTCGATCGTGAAGTTCACCTGTGCTGTGGCGCACACCAGGGGTTCTTTCTTCGAGTCGCTGTGTAGTACGCATTCCATTGCATGAATACATCGCAGTGTGTGCATCCTGCCGTTGGTGGGCGTCTTCATTGTTCCCAGTTTCTGCCTGACATGTGCAACTCATTCTCAGTCGGGTCCTTCAGGCCAGCTCCTGTGTCCTTTTGACCCTTCCCTATCATTGAAGAAAAACTACTTTCTTACTTTTTGGCCGCCCAGCAAAACATTTCAGGCTCTTCTTGTCCCTTTCTCTGCCCAGACCTGAAGTTGACCTTTTCTTCAGGAAACCCTGATTCCTTCTGATGGGGAAGCATTCAGCAGCCGAGATCGGGGCAGTGGGCGTGCCCAGGACCACTGGAATCCCAGCGTCTAAGGGCCTTGTCAGCGAAGATGAGAAATAGGTATTTCTATAAAGAATAAACTCACGTCCAAACCGCAGGTTCCAATCCAACGAACACCACACGGTTCTCCCCTGCCTCCTCCCTTGGAGAGAACCCTCCTCTGGAGCCTCAGCTGTTCGCGCAGAGGCTCCGTTCCTTCGGCCTTTGGCTGGCCGCCTCTGTGCGACATCAGATCCTTCCTCCCGTCCCGGGAGCTTGGAACGTCCTCCTTTGAAGTTGCAAAGATGTCCGCAAGCCTCGCGAGTCAGGGTTAATCGCTCTGGTTCCCCTCTCTGTCCGTGGGTACACACTCACTCTCGGACATTCGTGTGCCCCCACCCCCGCCAGTCTGCAGGTGTCTCAGTCCAGAAAAAGGAGGAGAGGCCCTGCCCGCGTAGCTCAGCTGGTAAGAGCATTGTCCTGGTGCACCAAGGTTGTGGGTTCAAACCCCAGTCAGAGCCCATACGAGAATCCACCAATGAGTGCATCAATTAGTGGAACCACAAATCGATGTTTCTCTCTCCTTCCCTTCTCTCTTCCTCCCCTCTCTCTCTGAAAGTCAATTTAAAGAAATGATGGAGCAAGAAGGAGACGGAGTAGGTCCCGCCTACTTGCTGTGCTCTGGCTCTGGCCAGTGTGGTCCTGTCTCTCCGTCCTCCCGGCCGCACCACCTAGGGCTACACACTGTCATTTCTTTTTCATCTTCTCTCGGCTGAAGACAAGGAGCCCCCAAGGGTTAGACCAGGATCTCATGGTTTTAGGATTAGAGTTTCCCCAGACCCAGGCATGTACTAGGTGCTTAATGTGTATTTGTGCAGCGAGTTCTAAGACCACTTTAGAAGTCTGTAGTTCTCAAATCGTCTGCGCGAGAAGTGCCTTATTAGATGCGGATTCGGGGCATCTAATATCTGGACATCTAATATCGGGACATATCTGGACAGAATGTCTTTTTGGGTCCGAGGCTGGTCCTGGAAAATGCAATCCACGCCCCGCCCCCCACCTCCTTCTGCCCCCTGGAAACGATGAAGCATGTTTTTCATAGCACATGTCAGTGCCTGGAATTACCGTGGTTACTCACATATGCCGGGTACGACAGGGCCGGGAACCTGGGCCGGTGCCTGGGTCAGAGCGGATGCTCCCTAAATATTTACTGAGTGGAGGAACGAATCTCTGAGGTCACTTCAGCAGCAGCATTTGCTGTTGAGTCTGTTGAGCGCTTGCGGAACGGCGGAGCCGAAGGTAGCCGAAGGAGAGCGCGGTGGAGCGGCTGCGCGCTGCTGGCTGGGAGGCGGAGCGCGGGCGGGGGTCTCCAGCCCTCCGAGAGGGGGCGGGCGGCGTCTGGCTGTGGGGTGGGGCGGGCGCGGAGGCCCCACGACGTCACGTCTGCGGAGGGCAGGCGGCGCGGCGGGCGGGGCCATGACGTCATACCCGCGGGGCGCAGTCTCCACGCTGCTGGGGCGAGGCGGCGCCGTGACGTCACGCCTGCGGAGCGCCGCGCGGCGGCTGGGCGGCGGGCGTGGGCGCGTGCGGGGTGCGGGGTGCGGGCGCGGCGCGGGTGGCGGCGGGCGGCGCGGCTCCGGGCCCGGGCGGCGGCGGCGGCATGGCGGAGAGCGAGGCGGAGACCCCCAGCACCCCGGGCGAGTTCGAGAGCAAGTACTTCGAGTTCCACGGCGTGCGCCTGCCGCCCTTCTGCCGCGGAAAGATGGAGGAGATCTCCAACTTCCCGGTGCGGCCCAGCGACGTGTGGATCGTCACCTACCCCAAGTCCGGTGAGCCCGCGCGGCCCCCGCCCGCCGGCTCTGCGGCGCGCCCGCGGAGTCGCTGCAGCCCGCCAGCCTCCGGTCCGGGGTCGGGAGGGCCGGGGCGCCCACCGCCCATCCCGCGCCCGGAGCCCTCCAGAGCGGGATCGGGGGCGGTCGGCCCGCATTTGGGGAAACTAAGGTCGGAGACCTTCGGGGGTGGGTCCCGGTGTTCGCGGCTGCAGGCTGGACAGCGTCCCGCGGGGATGGAGCCTGTTTGTCTGCGGCTTCCAGGAGGACAGGCCCTGGGCCGCCGCTTCTCCGTGCGTCCCCTCCCATTACCCTGTTGGCTGTGTGACCTTGGACAGCCCCTTAACCTCTCTGTTCTGGGCCCGATTCAGCCTTTGATGAGTGCAAAGTCCTGGTGATCATCCGAGGAAGGGGATCAAACTGGCGTGGGGGCCGAGTACGCTTCTCCTTTCCTGCGTGGACTCCCGGCGGGGGGATGGGACCAGCCGTGCCCGGAGTGTGTGCCCCGCTCCCCTGCTTCAGGGCTGCCTCCCTCACCCCGCTATCCGGCAGGACCCCGGGGCACCCGCATTTCCCAATGTGAACGGATGTCGTTTGCACGACCACCCACGGTGTGGGCGCCGAGACTGAGAGAGGGGAAGTGGCTTGCCCAAGGTCACACAGCTGGGGAGCGGTAGGGCTGGAATTTAAAGCCAGGTCGGAGGGCGTCCAGGACCCGATGGGAAGGATTGCCCTGCAGTGCCTCATGGGAGGCTCGCGGGGAGAGACGCGGCTTTGCCTCGTTGCCTCTGTGCTGCCGGGGGAGGGAGCCGCCGGGGTCTGGCTGCGCGCGGCAGCAGAGGCTGGCCAGCCTGGAGGTCACGTAGGACCAGCAGGGAGGGAGGCGCCTGGAAGAGCTGTGCAGGGTCCCAGACACCCGCGGGCTAGGCCCGACTCCCCCGGGGAGGGTGGGGGAAGAGGCCGTGCGTGGAGGGCGGGGGAGCCTGGAGGAGAGAAGTCTGCAGGCGCTCCTGGCGGCCCTTGGGGAGACGAAGGAGCGGTGCGCGCCGCCGCCGCCGCCGCCGCCGCTGCGGCCAGGGAGTTTCCTTCCGCTGAAGCCCGCAGCCCCTCCCCCAGCCCTGCGCGGGGGCGGGTGGGGGAGAAGGGGGGATGTGGAACTTTTCAGATTTTAGAGCCGTAGGGGATATCTGTGCTGTGAACCACCCCGGGGCGTGGGATCCACGGAGACGGAAAGGAGCCCCATGTCAGTTTGGGACGGGGCTTGCCCGCACCTGAATTGTGGAAACCCCGCGATGGGACGTCTCCAGGATGCTGGAGTTGCCAAAGAGGGACTTCCGTTCTGGGTTGCTACCTCCATTTTCCGTGAGGAGGTGGAGGGGGAAAGCAGCCGCTGGGGGAGGTGCGCAGGCCTGGAGCTTGCTAGGAAAGCCGGGTGCTTGGGGCCTGTGGGGGCTGCTGTAGAGGGGCCCTGCCCTGGGGGGCCTGCCCGGGCCTGGAGGCCGCAGGGACCTTCCTGGGCACGTGGCTGGGGAAGGAGGCGCTACCTGTGGGAGTTTTGTAGGTAATCAAAACTGGCGTCTGGTTTGCAGCTTGAATCTTTTGAAGTAGTCAAGAGCCCACTGTCTCACAGGGAGGGCCAGCACCCGGCTCTCCGCTGGTGACAGAAAATCCAGCAGTGGCCTGGGGACCTTCATGCAAGGCCCCTCCACACAGAACCCTGGAGAGCTCCCTTTCAAAGCGTACCGTTTCCCTCAGCCCGTGTGGCCTTTCCAGACTCTTACTGCCTCTCGTCCCCGTCACCCCTGAGGCGGCTGGCACCCCGAGGACCGACCGCCTGCCGGGACCGTGTGGAAGCCCGGAGTGTGTGGCATTAGTAGCCTGCCGCGCTCCAAGCTCTGTAGCTCACGGCCCTGTGTGTCTGCCCTTCCGGCACGTTCTCCCCAGAGTGCTGCGAGCTGGACGGTGGGCTCCCGTCTCCCAGATGGGGGGGGGACAGATGGGGGGACAGAGGACCTGGGAGGCTAAGTGACGTGCCCAGGCTCCCGTGGCTGCCCCGAGGCCGAGCTGAGGTGACACTGAGGGCCTGGGAGGGTTGGTATTTTCTGTTTCTTTTTCACTTTCTGCCTGGTTCTTTTTTTTCTTCTTTTGTGTTTTATTTATTTATTTAGAGAAGGGGAAGGGAGGGAGAAAGAAAGGGAGAGAAACAGTGATATGTGAGAGGTACATTGATCTGTTGCCTCTTGCACATGCCCCAACTGGAGACCAGCCTGCAACCCAGGCATGTGCCCTATCGAGGATTTGAACCGGTGACCCTCCGATGTGCAGACTGTCACTCAGTCCACTGAGCCACACCAGCCAGGGCTCTTCCTGGTTCTTAGAGTTGTCGCAGTTCACCGTTCTCACCCATCCCACGGGATGGCGACAGGGCCAGTGGGCCATTTTCTCAGGCACGGTGGCTGCGTGCGGCTTTAAACCAGTGATTCCGAAGCCTTCCCCGCCCCCCCGCCTGCGGTGTTCCCACCGAGAAATGCTCACCCGCTCACGGGCACTGGAGACCTGGCCCCTCCCAACACTGGCCCTGAAGAGCTTCTCTCAGCCAGAGAAAAAGGGACCTGGGAGCCACCCCCTGTGGCAGCTGGCATAGCAGGGGGAGGGGGCTGGGGTCGGGGTCTGGGTCCCGGTCCTTGCAGGCCGTTGGCCTCGGGTGAGCCTGAGCTTCTGTTTCCCCGGCTGCGAAACCCCCGGCTTCAACTGCCCAGTCGCGGAGGTGGCTCCCAGGCCTTTGGAAGGGCTGTGACTTTGGACACGGGCCAGTCGTGGTGTGGAATAGGACTCAGAACATTCTGGGAGTGGTCACTGGGCCACTTACCGAGTCCTGGGGGCAGGTGCTGTGCGGTGGCGACCCACGAGGACCACTGTGCCTCTCCTCGGGGACTCCGGGGCCTCTCCCCTGTCTCTCGGGTGTCCGTGGCCCTTGGGAGGCCCCCAGGGCAGGGACTCAGACCCCAGGAAGGAGGGAGGGGCACGCCTTCTTTCCGAGTGCTTTTCGGCACGGAAGTCCAAGGCCCTCGGGGATCTGGAGGTTTTCGTCCCTGCTCGGAGTCCTCTGCAGGTGGACCTTGGGGAACCCGGTTCATACCTACCTCCTTCCCCCCCCTTCTCCTCCCCGCTCCCCCGCCGGACGTGGGTCCGTAGGTGGCTCAGGTGCTTAGGGATGAGAGCCTGGCTTTGGAGCTGAAGTCCTGGATTTGCATGTAGCTTTGCTGCTTGCCACCCGGGTGGCGCTGGCAAATAACGTCGTCCTCGTGAGCTGTGGTTTCTGCAGGTGCGGGAGAGACCACCTCACTGCCTCGCTGGGTGGCCCTGAGGCCCCGGGAAGTGACGGGGGAGGGGTGTGGCTAGCACAGGGTGTCTGCTGGCTGGCCTCGTGTCTGATGACAAGCCGCTGTAACTCTCTGGTCGTCTGTGGAATGGGTCTTTTCCCTCCGGCTGCCTTCAGCGTCTCTCTTTATCTTTGATTTTCGGCACTTAGTAGGATATGGCTAGGTGGTTTTTTTTTTCAAGGTCGGGGTACGTATCTTGCTTGGGTTTTTCTGACCTTGGGTCTGTGGTTTGAAGCCTTTCGGTATTTTGGGAAAACTCTCAGCCATCACCTCTTCAGATCTCTCTCCCGTCCCGTGAGGTTCCGACCCCGGTCCAGTTTCCATGGCCCGGTCTTCAGGTGAACTGCTTCTCTCTTCCTCCTCTGCGTCGGGTCTGGGAGTCCGTCCAGACACTCTGTTTCTGCTGCCGTGTTTTTATTTCCCCCCTAGCGTGCGACTTCCGGTTCCCGTCTGTCTGCCGGAGTAGCCCCCGAAATGCAGCACGAAGGGGCGTGTTACTCACCGTTACCATAAAATCCGCTAATGTGTCGGTCAGATGTACTTGAACTTCTGAGTGTGTGATTGTGTGGTCTTCTGATGGGGTTTTTTTTTTTTTTCCTTGCCTTTTCAAAGGAGTGTTTTTTGGTCAATCGCTAGACGTGCGTGCTGACGTCAGAGGTGGAGGGCAGTGGTGTCTGTGCTCGGAACCGGCCTGTCCTCTCCGGCGGGGCCTGCAGTGGGGGAGGGGGCCAGTCCGGGAGGAGCGGGGCTGTGCTTGTTGCTCTGCCCCGTCCCCCGCCCAGGTGACCGCTGGCTCCAGCTCCCGCAGCTTCACCTGGCGCTCGGTCTCGGGGCTGAGTTTCCAGAGGGTCTCACCTGGGCGTTCCTGCCCCACCTTCAACTTTCAGGTCGAGCCTTGGAGGGGTTCCCCCCTCAGAGGGTGGGGCACTGCTGTGACTAGTGGTTCCAGTTTACTGGCTGAGAGAGGAGGGGCCTTCACCCAGCTGGCCCCGCCCCCGTCCTCTGATGCAGCTGCAGCCTTGGGTGAGGCTTTCTCCGTGGCCCCGCCTCCCCAGTGAGCACTCCATGGCCCCGCCTCCCCTGAATGACAGCTCCCTGGCCCCGCCTCCCCTGAGTGACGTCCTCGTGGCCCCACCTTCTCCAAGTGATGGCCAGCTCTGCCTTGGTGGCAGGGCCTGTGCAGAGAATAGTTTCACACCCCTCGTCCAGCGTTTGGGGGGGTGGTCTCTGACAGAGCCCAGGGATGGCCTCCTGCCCCTCTCTCCAGGACCCAGTTTTTTCCCACCCCTTTTGCAGCCATGTTGGGTCTTCACCGCGTGAAGAGGTTTGGAGGGGGAGCAGGTTTCCTCCTCCTGCCCTAGAGTGGCCTGGAGCCGTTTTCCCGTGGAGGGTGACGGTCCTGGCCCCGGCCCCGAGGGGGTCCCCGCCTGCCGCTGCCGGTGTCCCTCGTGGGCGCGGGTGCGGGTGGGCAGAGAAGGCTGTTTGGGGCCAGCTCCCTCCTCGCGCTGGCTCTCGGCCCACAGTCCCTGCAGTGCGTGGAAGTCCTCCCCGAACCCTCTTGCCCACCCCCACGGTGCCTGGCTTCTCCTCCCCTGGCCCTGTCTCCCTGCACGGGCC